GGAGGCTGAGGTTGCTTCTCCTTCGATGGTTCTTACAGCTTCTAATTTTTCCACCTCAAACTTCCCATAGAGAACAAGCAAGGACCCCGAATTTGATGAATCCACATCACGTCTGTCACCTGGAATCCACAGTTTGTCAGCTCTGTTCCCAGTTGGGAGAAGTTAAGAGGATCTGTAAAAACAAGGTGTGTATGGATTTGCCCTGTTAGCACTGGTGCCAGATCTGAAATGTTCCAGAGACAGGAGGGAAGCCTCTTGATGAGGGATTGCTTCAGAAAAAACTGTCTGGACAATAGGATAAATTTCATTAAGGTAAACTTGGCACATAAGAGTATCTTTATTTAATAGCCTTGTAGACTGGTCCATCTCATAAACTGGCAGAAGTTGCCTCCTTTCAGAGAAAGTGAACACTACTTGGTACAAAACATGTTTGCCTGGAGATTTCTGAATGAAGCCATAGTAAAGGAATAGTCTTTGGTGAAAAAAGGACTTTTTTTCCCCAAGTGTAATTTTACCATTCCAATCAGCATTTATGTTGTAGATAAGGGTCTTCTGAAGAGCTCTGGATCAGGGTGGAAGCCAAATTACTCTCCAGAACCTCAACTAACTCTGAAATGAAACTGAGCTTGATCACTAAAATAAGGCAACACAATTAGGAGTACACACAGGGAATAACTCTGTTGGGCCAAAAGATAACATTTGTGCTTCTTTCAAGTAGGACCTAGAAGAAAACTGGATGGAATGGAATTTACTGTTTAAACAGAATGCTTTAAGAGAATTCTTCATGAATATTTGCCCTTTTCTAGGTCCAAGACTTTGAGAAGCAGTTGTACCTAGCTCATTCTGAGACAGCAGAAGCTCAGGCAGCACTCAGAATTCCAAACTGAGGACACTGGTTATTTCTCAGACAAGAAATACAGGATATGGTAGTCCCATGCAGGTCAGCATCCTCAGAAGAAAAATCACTCCAGGCAGCATTTAATTCTCTTTGGTGAGAAGGGATTTGAGTGCACATGGGGGTGCTGCTACAAGAGAATGGCAGTCATGTTCATAAGCTACGCCTGGGGAGTTTAATTATTCTTTAAAGCCATCAGCTATCAACAAGTAGTTGACAAGTAGTTGGTCTGTTTCACTCTGGTTTTCTTTCTTGCCCTAAACTGGGATTTTAAGTAGTGGTGTCCATTCGTCTTTGTGGTTATTTTATATAATTATTTATGTTACACATGCTTGTTTTTTATGTAAGCAGTGTCAAGGATGAGAAAGAAGCCAGAATATGTGAAATGGAGGCCAAGCTGAGCAAACTGGAGCTGGAAAAGATTCAACTGGTTAGCACATGCACCAAGAGGCTCCAGGCACTGAATGATGCAAAACTGGAAAAAGATGATCTCCTGCAGGAACTCTAGGCTGGCCAGAGGGAGCTGGCAGGCCTTGCACATGGGGAGCCTCAGCTCAGCTCCCACAGCTGCTAATTTGGGCTCATGTTAAAAATAAAAGAGCAGCCTGCTGGCTGAATCCAAATATGGCTGCTGGTACAGCATGAGGTTCCTGCCAGCCCAGAACGGTCAGATTGTTCCAGGGAGCTATGTGGGATTCTGCCACTCAAGGGGGGGACACAATCTTAATGGCCCATCTCACTATGAGCAGAAATATTTAAAACTGGGTGAGTCAGGAGATGAAAAAAGCAGATCTAGTAAATCACAGAAGAGCAACCTGACCCTTTTTTCAAGAGTGGTATGTAACAGCAGTACTGGATCCCATTAACCATCTATGGCCAAATTATAGTGCAGCTTGGTTTTGTTGCAAATTTGCCACCATGGAAGGATATTGTTCCCTTCTGGGATGTTCTGGTGTGCATGTTATGGCTGCCAGGCTTGTATAAGCAGTTGCTTTTGTGAGCCTGTCAGCAAAGGCATCCTGCAGTATTTCTGTGCTGATAGCAGGAGGTAAATACAGCACGCCTGTGTGCACCTTGTTTTTGTCAGAGAGAGGACAGCAAAGAGTGCAATCCCCCAAAAGTTAGCACAGTTCATTCATGCCCTTTGTGTGTTCTGTTGCAGGCATCCCTGCAGTTTGCAGAGTGCCAGTGCATCATGCAGTGCCAGGAGCCATGCACTGCTGGCTGCAGCACACCTTGGATGTGAGAGTGAGTGCTTTCCTGGGAAGCATGGGCCCAGCTGCAGGTTCATTTGCTTTGGGGCCTGGCTTTAGGTTAACCTCTTCTGTGCAAACAGCTCTCAAAAGTCTGTGTTCTGAAACCCTTTTCTGTGTGGAATTCCTCAGTGCTGCACATGTCCATAATTCCAGGTTTTTGGAGTGCTATTTGCAGTAATGACAACAAAATATTAGATGGAGTCCAATCCCTATCTATACTCCTTAGATGGATAGAGGATATTTTTTACTTTTGCCTTATTTCTAACCGTGGACTCTTCAGGCTGCAGTGAGGCTACTGCTCTAAATGAAGGGTACCTTGGGAGGAGCAGTTTCATCACAAGAAATTATCATTCATTTTAGTGACTCACCCCAGCTGCTGGCTTTGAAAGAGGAACAAAGTGCTATATTCAAAATACAACTCTACATAAGTGCGGTAACCGTGACTTTAAAGTTCCCGCCTGCGCCGCCGTCCCCGCCTGCCAGCAGACAGAGCGGGAGGAATTCGCGGTTTCTCGGTTCGGCGCGCGGGAGCCGCTCCGCTGACAGTGGCACGCTGGATCGGCTGTCAGCTCTAGAGGCGGACAAAAAGGCACGGGACCACAGACAGGGAATGGGGAGAGCGTCCCCCCGACCGGGGCCAGTCCAGATTTTATTCCAGAACGAGGAGTACACCCAGGGGAAGCCACCGGATCGAAGGGCGGCGGGGGGAGGGAATACATGTGTTATATAGGAGAAACGGGAGGGGGAGAGCTCAGACAGCCAGCAAATGGGAGCCCATGGTGAGTGCGGGCTTTTCAGAGAGACGGAACGGGTAGCCAACCGAGAGAGCTCAAAGGTGGGAGCCCGGTCCCCGGCCCAATAATTCCGTGTATAACACCGAAGTTTCTGGATAAAAGGGGGGCATTTGGGGGTGACAGGGCGCGGGCTTCCAGCGTAACTGGTGATTGACAGATAACTGGGAAAGAGGGGGAATTCCAGACAGAACCAGTATACAGAAAAAGGGGGGTAACAGAACATTCCAACTTAAACCGGGGGAGCATAATAACACAACACATAAGCAATACAAAAAGTGCTTCAGAGGACGAATGACCAAGGTGGGGAACTTTTATTGTTTTTCCCCAGGAGCTGCAGGGCCCAGGCTACTCCTCAGCTTCTGCCTCAGGGAAGCTGCAGCACTCTGTGCCTCAGTCCCACCTGCTCTCTGCTGTCTGGCCACATGCCCTGCACCTGCCCAGCTCTGCCCCTCAGGTGAGTTCCTGCCTCAGCATGGACACCAGCATGTCCCAAACAGCAAAAATAACATGGAAGTTTTTCAGGGAAGAGCATCTGCTCAGAGCATCTGAGAGCAAATTTGTAACGCCTAAGGTGAAATAATTCCTGTAGCTTCACATGTGCTGGGTCCTTTCAGATTTTTTTTTGGTGTAAAAAACAATGTGACAACTATAAAATCCTGTAGACTATGCTAAGAGTTTATTTTACCTCTACCACAAATAACATTCATGGACTATTAAGTCTGAAGGTAAGTGGTTTGGTTTTCACTTTTTTTTTGCTGTTTATCACATTTGACAGTGAAAATAGATTTGTGCTTAGTTGTTGATACATTTAATCATCTGCTTGATATTTGAATCTTCCTCCAACCTGGCTTTTACTGATTTTGATCAGTTTTATCCACACCATTTTTCTTCCTTTTGATTTTGTACGTCTACCTTTTAGATTTAAATTAAATACACTGATTTTTCATTACAGAAAACATCAACTTTAACCTCTCATAAAAAAAAAAATACTTTAGATATTTTCTTCATAGATTTTGTGTAAATCTCCTGAAGTGACTTGATGTTTCTCCCAGGTATTTTCATTAATTTCAGCCTCAAAACCCATAGGAGGCCACAAGTTAGTGCAGGCAAGTTTCAGGAAGATTTTCTGGTTTGCTTCCTGATGTGGTGGCAAATATTTCCATCAAGGAACAAAGGATAGTTCCTTCTGTGAAATCCCTGCAGCATCAGGCACTCCCATTCTCTCTTCTCAGTGTTAATCAATTTATACTTCTGAACATAAAGAAGGAAAAAGGACTTATTTTTAATTTAGTACTACAGTGAGGACCCAACAGGTTGCAGGAGCACTTGAATCAAAGTCTACTTAAATCTTCTTAGTTCCTGCATCATTAGTTATTATAGAAAATGAAGCAGCTGCAACACTTGAGACAGACTTGGTTGGGTGATAGTCAGGTCAGGTTTCCTAGCTGGAGTGTGGAAAAGGAGGATTTGGTCTGACTCAAAGTCACTTTAACCCATTATGAAGCTGAGGATTTGTTGCCCATATAAGCCCTGCTGAAACCAGTGTTTTCACATTAAAAATTACTTTTATTTTAAAATGAAAATAGGGTAGCAAAGTTTTTCCAATGTTCTGAGTTTTTCCATCTCTAGGTGGAGCAAAGGTCAGTGGGAGTAGTGCTTTGAACATGTGGAATGCTGAAAAATCCAGTTTTCATTGAAACAAAGGGTTCTTTGAACCAGGCCTTTGCCTCAAGTCCTGAGCAGTAAAATGAGAATAATTTTGCACTTGATGTCCGTGATGGCTGTGGCAATGAAGGGGTTTGTATCTGCAGACAGCTCAGCTGCTGCAGAGTTTGCCTGGCAAATGCCCCCAGGTGCTCCTGTGTCTCCCTTCAGTCCAGCGGTATCTGGGGTCACAGGTTAAAAAGGACAAAACAAGAGTCAAGGGGGAGAAAATACATGCATTTGGATGAGTTGAGGCAAGAGCTGACAACAGAGTGCCTTTGCAAATACTTTTTAACTGAGTTATTTCATTTCAGAAGCCTACCAAGCTGGATGTTTTGAAGGAAGAACCATTGCAGGATCTGAAGAGGATTCTTCAAGAATTAACAAGCTCAGACAGTGAACTTCCCTCTGTGGATCTCAGCAGCCATGGTGGGAGAAAATGCCCTTTAACAACCATAAGGAATGCAGGGTAAGAATAATAGGTTTATTTCTGTTGTGTGCTGTGTACTTACAGTGCCCTCTGAAACTGGGATCTGGCTCTTGACATGCTTCAGGAACAGTGTGGGATGTGTTTTTGCAAGGTCAGGTTTACACATAAACTTGAGATAATCTGGAAGCTTCCAAAGCTTCTGTTGTTTGCCAGGTCACTCAGATGCTTTAGGTGGAAGGGAAATAGAAGTTGACCACACCATTTGCCTTTAGTGCTTGCTTTTATTTTTGTTCAGAACTCCTTTCTTCTTTTCCTGCCATATGTAAATATCCAAATGCCGGATTTTTTTTTTTTTACCAAACACATGATAATGACAGCAGTACATGAAGTTGAAAAATCAATACAGCATGCAGTCTGATGTTTCTAATCCAGAGCATATGCATAATTCATAAAAAAAAATGTAATCCATGATTTTTGATTAGGATTAAATCAAAACTGCAGCTGGAGAGGCTGCTGCTGCAAGCACAGTGGAAAAGCACATTTTAGGACAGTGAGAAGTGCTTTGACTTAGCTGAGTAACCTGCCTCTCACAGTACTCCTTTGAGGTTCAGTTTCTAAGGCTTTTTTAATACAGCCCTAATGCTGAGCTTGTTTGTCTTGTTTTATTCATAATGCTAAGAGCTTCCTGGGGGTTATAAAACAAAGCTTTCATGTCACTTTCATCCCTCTAAGCAAGAGCTCTGAAACATATTTACATTGGTTTTTTTTCTTCATTTCCATGGCTAAGACCTGGAGACTCCATATGAGAGCTTCACACTGTCACTGTGGGTGCTGGCTAGCATGACCACACTTCAGCATAACCCTTCCAGAATGCAGGTTTTGCCCTCATTTTGCTTTCAGGTGTCCTTTCTGCTCACATCCTGCAGATCCTCAGTCCCAGAGTGTTTCCCTGCTCCTTACATCCCTTGGTAAATTTTCCTGGCCGCACTGATGTCAAACTGGAGCATTACAGAATATTATGGAGAATGTAGTCCCAACATAGTATTTTTTCCTAGGAATTTACTCAAATACCTCTTAGCAGGTGGTATTACAGAGACTGTATTGCAGTTGGTACAAAAATCTGTATCTTGTTAGAAAGCAGCTCCTCAGAGGCTGACATAAGCACACCCAAAATTGGTAACTTCCATGTTACTTGTGTAATTAGCATCCATAGCATTGTCACATTTTTGGAGCCTAAGTTTTAGGCTCTTGAGTTCTTTATTTGGATACTTGCTCTTAACCACCCCACCCGATGAGCTTGCAGCTGGCCCTGCTGCCTCACCTGAGCCCAGCCCAGCCCCAGGGAAGGTTGGCGCTCCCCAGGGAGCAGCCACAGGAATAGGTATGTCCAATCCCACATCCTGATCAGGGTGCCTTCACCCCCTCCCAGTTCTGTTCAGGCAGAAGGTTTAATCTGTGATAAATGAATTGTGAGTAAAGCATAGCAGCTAATTAATCTATTACACAGTCAGAAGATAAATTTCATGCGCCACTAATTTTAAGGCCTGTTTAGTTGCTTTATTCAAATTAAAATGCTGTAAGGATGCTTGACATCAGTACTTGCAATAAAAAATGTTTGTAATAGCTGTTGTGGTTCCTGTAACACATTTAGTCAAGTTCTGGGGTTTACTGAAAATGTTGGTGTAGATTTTATTTCATAGGAACTCCAATTTAAAGGGAATGTTTCGATAATTTATTATGGGCTTTTTTATTATTACTGATGATAATATTTTTTCTCTAGCTTCTCAGCCCATGGAAACTAGTGAGCCCACATCAAAGAGGCTACAGAACAAGATGGAGAGCCTGCAAAACCTGGTGGAATCATCACAGATAAAAAAACAAGGTGCCAGTACTTACCAAAAATATTCCTGTTTTATTGAAAAAAAAAGCCATTCTCCAGAAACTGCTGTTGGTACCTGCCGAAGCACTGCCTGTGCTTTTACTAGCACACACTAGTTTAACTTGTGCATTATCCTGCTCCTGGTAGAGTAATTAGATTAACTCCACAATGCCCCTTAACTCTAATAAGCTTCAGGATCCTTAACATGTCAAACATGGCAGCTGCTCAGGGGTGTCCTCATGTGCTGTCATGGCCAATTACAGGGAATTTTTGACAAGCTGATGATGCTTTCATGCAAACTGCAAGATTTCCAAAACTTAGTTGCATGAGCTCCTGGCATGGCAGGATGCCAGATGAGATGTGGTTTATTTTCTCTGTGCTTTTTCTTATTGCGTATTCCAGTCTCTTCCCCTTTTCTCCTTTAAGTCTCATTGCACAGTTTTGGGAAATTATTTCCCCTCATCACACAGTGCGTTTGTGTCAGGGACATACAAGTGACCTGATGTAGGTAAAACTAATCAAGTTATTTATATAAATAAGTCAGAGCTAAGTGTTCTAATTTTTGTTCTTTGCCATCCATTAATATCCTCAGTGGCTTGTATGTAGTCACATAAAGAATTGCAAACTGAGGCTGCATTTGTAAGGGCTTTATAGGTACAGCATAACTTGTTATGGGAGGACTCTGTGAAGCTTCAGCTGGCTGTACCTGAAACCTCAGCCTTTGGAACATAAGGTGGTGTTCAGCTAATCTGTTCTGCTATTTTCAGCCATGTCTCCAATGAGCAGAACTCAGGAGGTGAAGACAAAGAAATGCAAGGAAAAGGAGAGAAAGCTGTCCAAGTGAAGGCACTGTATGCATTAGTGATTGCTTTCATGTAGGTACATTGTGTTTAAGTTGGTTTTAAATATTAATAATAAAAGCCCTCACAATTTTTTTAAATTCTTGTTTATAGCTCTTATTTTAAATTAGCAGGAAGTACAGAGCAGAAGGGAACTTTAAGGATAATTTCATCTCCTTCCAACCCCTTGCCACAGGCTGCAGCACCTTCCACTATCCCAGGTTGCTCTAAGTCCAATCCAAACCAGCCTTGGACACCTCCAGGGATGGGGCAGCCACAGCTTCTGTGGGCATCCTGTGCCAGGGCCTCAGCACCCTCACAGGGAAGAATTTCTCCCTATGTCGAAGCTAAATTCTTCCTGATGAAGCTTGAATTCCACACTGTACCGTGATTCATTTAAGAAGAATGGACTCACCCAACTTGTGTTTGCATCTTGTGTGGGGAGAAGAAATTACTGAGTTGCTCTTCAGCTGTCCTCAGTTACTGCCAACAGTATTTTAATTGGAGGAATTTTTTTAGTTTTCCTTATACTAAAGATACTTTTTGCAACAGTGTTGCAAATTCAGACAAAAGATTCGTAAATACATCTCCCCTTTCCTAGAAATCAGTTGCATTGAAAATTAAAGGATTGGATTAGATGGAACATGAATCACAGTTTGGACTTGCCACAAATACTGGACAAATCTTCCAAAATTTTCTTAAGGGGAGAGTCAGGTGTAGAGAATAAGAACCCCTAGGAAAGGTCACTGTGAAGTGCACTTCCAGTTTTGGTCAAGGAGCCAAGCTAAAAAAGAGTTTCAGAAGCTTCATCTGTGTGCCAAGGGCAGGGGGCAGGTGGAGGGGTCAGAGAGAAGGGAGGGACATCTGCCAGTGCAAAACAGCAGCTTAACATCATTTGGAGATGGCATTCAGAGAGTTGGGGACAGGTCTGGGCTTCCCCCTGCCACCAGCAGCAGGCAAGGAACAGGCTCATAGACACATGAGCCTTAGAGCAGCTGAATGTATGCAGCCCTTGTTATTCCATGTCCTGCAGGTGGATGGCACAGCAGGACTGTTGGGCCAAGCTTGCCCACAGCAGGGACACCACAGATGGCAACCAGCCCCTGGGAGAGAAACCTAACAGCAGGCTCATAGGTGCAGAGACTCCAAAGGGTGAGTTCCATTCCCAGAGACAATGTGAGATGGGCATGGGTTTTGCAAAGCAAAATAGCTGCAGTGAAGGTTTTTGCTGGGGACTTTAAAATGGCTAATGCCCAGTCCTCTCAGGCTGCTTGCACAGCTCACCATCCAGCTCCAGCATTCAGCATTTGTGCACCAAACTACTTGACAAAAAGGAGTAGTTTGTGTTTCACATAAAAGCAATCAAATTCTGTCTAATTTGACAGAAGTTGGTTGTCAGGGGTATGAGCAGGTGAACTTTAAAGGTAGCTCTGTGATTGCAGGCTTTGTCAAGCTGTGAGTGAGGCAGTTTTGTTTGCTTGGACATCTCCTGAGCCACTGGCTGTTAGATCCACGCAGGAATGTCAACACTAAGTTGTTTGTCACATATAGCTGCACTGGTCTCACAGCCAGGACATTGTATTAGACAGCTATCAGCCATTCCAGCAGCATCTTTTATATGCAGCAAGGCAACTTTGTTTAAATCTGCCTTCACCTTTGAGCAAATATTGTTCAATAATGAGAAAACATACCTGTGAACTTAGAGAAAATACTAATAGGTTCCTCCAGAAAAACTGAAGTCCAGATTTCTTTCTTTCACCATACCCAAACCATTTAATTTACGTACCACAGGTCCTGCTGGGACTGTCATAATAACTTAAAGGCTTTTTTAGCAAAAGCTCAGTGCAGGTCTTGGTAGAAACCCTAGCTGATCATTCAGCAAGGTGATACAATCATGAGGACTGTGTTGTCTGTGGGATCAAAGCACAGGGTGCTTAATTAAAAAATTAAGTTGTTCTCAATTTAAAAGACTTCTTGGGGTTGGTCTGTTTGACATGTTCACCATTGCATTAGAGAATCTATTCTCGCATAGGTTAAGGAGCTTTCTGGTGAATAACTTAATCTAATAGCACAGTTAATCTCCTCAGACAAGCCTCAGGCGTGCGTATAAATACGCTCAGGCGGCAGCTTTGACTTCAGGGATTCCTGAAGAACACCTTCTGTTGCTGCTGAATATTACCTGTAGTATCCTCTTCAGTTTCTTGTGAGAAAAGCCAAGTGCTAAGAATGCAGCTGAGGTTTTTCTGCTGGATAAAAATGAAAATTCCAAATTGCGTATTGGAATTGGCCTAAGTGTCTCTCCCTCCTCACCCTCCCCTCAATACCCTCCTGGGGTTCCTTGAGCTATTTCCAGGCCAGGTCTGCAGGAGCAGGCAGCTCAGCCCTCCCTCACTGAACAGCTGGTATCCAAGTCCCAGTAAGAACATTGCCAACACTTGTTCTTCCCAGCAGCTCTAGCACTGTCCCACCAACTGGATGCCCATTAACCCACCAGATGCAGGAGGTCAGCTCTGAAGTTCATCTTCCAGTCTTTCACCAAAGCTATTCTATTTCACATGTCCAGGCTGCTCCACTGCACAGAGCAGGAAGGAATTAGCAAAGGCATTTAGTGATGTCCTTTTTGAAGTACCTCTTCCAAACTAAAGTTGTAATTTGTATACTTGCAGATCTACAAAACTCTGCTCTCCCAGACCAAACTCACTCAAGGCAAAGGCTGTTTGCAGGCTTGGTCTTGTAATGCTTGGTTCAGCATCATGGAGAGAGGAGCTTGCTCAAGTGGCAGCATGTATTTGTACCTAAAAATACAAAAGGCAGGGAAGCAGGGCAGCTTTCTGCTTTTATCCTATAAAGATACCAACTAGCTGAAGCTGGAAGCATGCTACTTCATCTGGCTTACTAGAAGGCCACAGCTTAAAATAAATTCACGGTGAAAAGCTTAGGCTTAAAAAAATATTTACAAGTTCAAGCCAAGTATTTGCTAACAATACTGTGGTACTGTTCATCAGTATGCCACCCCTCTCTGTTTCAGCCAGAGCCCTAATCCCTGGCCATCGCAGTATTCCAGGTTTTTTTAAAAGCCTGTTCCCACCCTGACAAAGTAATTCATTAAGCCGAGACAGTCCTTTATGACCTTTGCTCTCCCCTCAGCAGGAGTGGAGCTGCCTGCCAAGCCTTTCATTTGAGCCGAGATGATTGCTGGACAGTAGGGGGTAGAGAATGAACTATTTTAGAGTTCAACCTTTTGTTACTCAAGAGGGAGGGCCACTTCTCAGCACTTGCTTAGCACTAAGATTTCAGGTCAAGTGGCTCACTTGGATCAAAGTTACCAAAATGAGTGAGGTCACTGGTCAACTGATAATGAACTGTCAATCTGAAAATGTTTATTGTTTCCTTAATACATTACATAAATTAAAACACTTAAGTTCCTGTTACAGTGTTGGTAGTCACACCTCCCAGTATGCTGCCCAAGCCCAAGCAGTGGATATCAAGATGCTTCCCACAGCCCCACTCAAAGCAACACTAACTCAAGTCCAGGGTCCAGATCCACCTGGGCAAGCAGGTGCTTGGAATGCTGCTCATGCCTTCTTAGCCTACCTTGTGTCTCTTTAGCATGCACTCAAAGTTGATTCTTCAGGTTGCCAAAAGATTTCCTAAAGAGATCTGCTGCTTACGTGGTTGGATACGGGATTTCCAGAGCTCTGCACTCAAGAGGGTCTCCTAGAGAAGAAGGGGAGCCCCCCTAAGGTTTAGGGGCTCGGTGGTTCACCTAGGCAGGTCTGCCATTAGACCAGCAGCTTCCACCTTCCCATTAATGGTATCCCCACCACTGATGAACAATTTGATCTTCGTGTTCAGTCACTAGGGTCCTGTTACCGCATTCTTCCCAGCGTCTGACCTTGCCATTCTCCACCAAGATAAATTTCCACTCTACTCTGGTGTCTGCGGGCAGACTGATGGATTCGGACCAGAAGCCATCCTTGTCACGCTTGAGGGGCACGTAGCTGTGCCACTGGCCCAGACACTCGTGGTCCCCCGTAACACCGATGAGCTGTGTGTCAGAGTGGGTGATGTAGTGCACTCGGAAAGCCACGTGGATGTTCTGGAACATGGGGGGCACGGCTGCAACTCGCTTTGCTTTCGTGTCCCCGTCACAGCAGTCTCCTGGTTCCCATTCCTTGCTGTCTGAGTCTTCCATGCTACCATCCTTCCCTTCGACCAGGTGCTCAGAAACAACTTCCCACTCTTCATGGTCCAAGTCCCTCCTCTCAGCTGGCTGACACGGCTGCTCCTCACTTCTGTCCTTACACTCATTGTCAGAGGCCCCTGCCAAGTTCCTCAACCACCATCTGTCACTTGCCTGTCCCACCTGGGCTTCCACTTCGCCTGCCTGGCTGCCGGCCATATCAGCCGGATGCTCCCCCGCGTCCGTGACACCGCGCTTCGGGATCAGCTGCTCCAGCTCCACAGGTTCGCCCAAAACTGCACCGCTCGGGACGTGGTTAAGCTGTTCCCTTGAAACAGCCGCCAGATCCTCTCCTGGATTCCAAGGGCCGGACGGGGCAGCAGCCGCCACCTCCCGCAACCCCGGCTCCCTGCCCGCCGCAGCATCCTCTGCAAGTGACATTGAGGGAGAACGAGTTAAGTTGAGCGCCGGCAAACCCAAGTCCTCGCAGGCTCGGGCAGCCCGGGACACCCGCGGCATCGCCTCCCCATCCCGCTACCTGTGGTCACCGCGCTTGCCCGCCGGGGCCCCTCTCTGCCGGCCGCCGCCTCCTCGCCGCCCGCCTCGGCTCGCCCGTCGCTGTCGCCGTACCAGAACCAGGCGACGATGGCGGCCAGCAGCCCCACGAGCAGCGCCGGCCAGAGCCCCGCGCCCAGCCAGCCCCAGCCGTGGGGCTCGGCGGGCAGCGCGGCGGCGCGGGGCGGCCGCAGCACGGGCGGGCCGCGGTCGCGGGCCATGGCCGGGCGCTGCTGCAGCGGGACCCCGCCGGGGCCGCCCCCCCGGCGCCGCTTTAAGCCAGGCT